CTGAGAGAAAAATTAACATTACAAAATACTTCAGTTAATGCAACACCTAAAAGTCAACAAAATCATTGACTAAAAAAATGGATAATTTTTGTTCTTAATTGTAGTGTCCCTGGAAACGATGCGCCAACCTAAGCTAAACTAGATATAACTACTTAAGAAAATTAAAGCATGGGTCTTCTACTTAATTCCGCAAAAACAGCGGGGGAGTCTAACTTCTTAAGCTTTCAATATAGCACAAAATAACTTAAAGGAGCTGTGTCACAAAATTCAGCCAAATTGAGAAATTACCATATCCCGTTAAATAAGATAGGCATAAAAATAACCGCTTAAAACTTTAAAGGAAGGTTAAAATAACATAACAGAAACAACAGATGCCACGGATGGGCAAAACTGAAGCAGACTGAAACGGATTGAAATTAGGATTTTTGAAAACTGTTCAGCCTTACAGTGTTTCAAAGTTGATCCCTGCTGCTTGCAACTTCAAAAATAATGCTCAGAAGACATATTTCTTTGTCTCAGATCTCTGATTTTGTCATTTACATAGAGGATATTACGTGGCCGCGCGGGGATACGAATTTTATCTTCGAGTGCTGAAAGTACCTCTCACGAGTGAGCGAAGCGATTCCTACATAAAACACAAGTTTTTTTATTCATTTTCGAAACAGCAAAATAAGGCAATTAAAGTGTTGACCTATCGCAAAATGCCTGTCACAACAATGTTATGAAACTCGGTTATGAAGTCATAAAGGAAAAGTAAAGACATTTTCTGTTCCAAAAAGTCACAATTTTAATGAAGAAGAGAAAAATTCTATAACAAAATGAAACTCCAAAAGAACCGGCCGCGCATCTGAGCGGGAAGCTCTGTTGTAATTGGCTAATCATGTTAGTAACCATGGCGACACCAATATCCTAACACGTGAAAGATAAAAATAGTAGGGACTTTAAGATCTGGGACGCGACGACTTCTAGAACGCGGTGGCTGATAAAGGACTGGAACTGTAGAACGCCGTCGTTTGCGCGCGAAAAGTAAAGTTAAGATGTCCGTCGCGATGCAAGACGACGCGGCTGCAAAGTGCTCTTTATCAGTGTGATTTTTCGGCAATTCTTTCGCAGAAATAGCCATGGCATCATTAAAGAAAGTCCAAGAAATGCTTTGTTTGTGCTTTGTTCGATAGCATCACCTCCACTTCTTCGTTGACGCTTCGGTTTGTCATCGCTTTCATCCGCTGATGAACCTCTTTTCTTCATCTCTGACAGCTCCTCCATCGCTTTTAGTCTAACATCTTCCGCTTTAGCCCGATCTTATTGAAGTTTTTTAGTAGCCGTTTTCCCTCTGTTTCCTGTAATTCCGCTTCGCCACTCTCCTCCAACGCGATGATCATATCCAATAGGTTTTCTAGTTCCGTTGGCTCATCGGGAGTTATCCCAGTTGCTTTTTCCTCCGCTAGAAGTTTCTTCTTATGCTTGTAAACAAGGATTCCCACGTGGTCTCGGACTGATCGCTTATCAACCCTGAATCAGCCCTGAATTTCGGCACAGTGCATTTGTTCAAGGTTTCTGCTATTTTTCCCACATTCTGCTTCTTTGTGTTGACCCTTTCTTAGTTGTGTAGGGATTTACATTGACGACTTCTCTGCATAGAATGGCTTCACGATCATGAGTCCAAAACATTACTGAACTAAAGGGAAGCATGAAAACAAACGCAGTTTAATAAAATTGAATTAAATAATACAGGCTTAAACTTGGCTTTTAGCGGCAGATGAACGCAATAAATCGAGAATTGCAACGGTACAAGAGACGAGAAGAGTATGCGGAAGACTCCTGCATTCACTTTTTGCAGTTTTAGCTCGTGACTTACTTACAAGCCTCGCTCGAAGTCGAAGTCGAAGGCGCTGCCATTTTATAAGCTTCCTACACCAGAAAGAAATTTAAAAATAATCAAAATCCTTCCATCTCTGCGATCTAAAATGTCGCCAGAAATTACGTCCAATGATCCTAGAAGGCTGATTTTACATGTCTAGAGGAATATATCATCATTTAATTTAAGCACAGGAACAAATATACTCACGTTTTGTACAGAACGTCAAACACGCAAAACCCACGTTCTCGACGCGACGTGGTGACACCAGGACAACGGCTTGAGCGTGCGCAACATGTCTCCTCTTTGAAAATTTACTTCCTGTAGCGTCTTACAGCCGTCGCGTCTCGGATCTTAAAGTCCCTAGTATCTTCACTGCGCGCGATGAAGATATAATTTTTTTAGTAAAAGGAAAAATCTTGGTATTTCATCAGTATCTATATAATAAATGTGATTTCTTTGCTTACTTTAAGTTCCATAGCGATTGAGGGCGAGTAATTGGCAAAATTAAACAAAATGAACTGGAATGCCGTGATACAGCCCCTTTAAAGACAGACTTCGTGGGTATAATTTTAATAACCTTGAATGATGATTGGAGTCAGTAATTGTCATGTGACCTATCAAGGCCTTATTTAGCACAAAAATCTATTTGGCAATTACTAATTACTTTGTGGAAGTTGCAGTTATCGTCATAGTTATTAGACTAGTAGGTACATCATTTCCGTGTCTGGGCCTTTTAAGTTAATCTTTTAGACAGGAACGAAACTAGAAAATCGTTTGATAAGGGGACTGGGTAGTAGTAAAAAATTCCGTCTGTTTTCACTTTCAATAAATTACTCAACAAAGCTCGGGCACAGACGTTTAGTCGTTCATCTAGGGACATGTTTGGTTGCACCTTCTTTGATTGACTGTTAATATAAAATGGTGCCATTTCTAATTTAAGTTTTTTTCGCGCAAAATGGCCGTTAAAGGTCACGTGACCTTATTTATATATTTTTTTACTCGGAATCGCATAAACGTTTGAGAGTCATTATTTTACTCAACTTTTGTCGCTATAGGCCTTAATGCTAAAAATGTAGACCACCCCTCCACTTTTTGAGGGAAATTGAAAAAACACTCGTGCTTTAATTTCCCTGAGTATGCTACAGCGTGTCTGGTCCCCGTTATAACTTTGACCGTGTGATTGTTTGATTGCCAGTCTGATTGCTCTTCCAATCGGTAACGCGGGCTGACGAGGAGACAGGCCATTATAGGTCTTATAGAATGACGCCCGAGGTATTTGTAAGACGAGAAAAATCTCGACTAGTGTGCAAGTAAGTTAATGTAACAAAAGGGTAACAAAAGAACTAATCAAAGCGCGGGATGCTTTACAAGATGCTGACAGTGCATGCGGATTCACTTCTTTCTCCCTCGTTGATCTTAGCGATAGCTATGAATACATGTCATTTCTCAGCGTACAAAACTATCTTGAAAAAAAGACGCCAAATAGGAAACTACCCGTCAAGTATAAAGAATAGTTTTAGGATTGAAGAGATCACTATATATAGTAAAAAAAATCGCTGTAAACATGAAAATCTGGACTACAATGTTACAAGATATATAAACATTGAAGTAGCCCATTTAACAGTTTCCTTCCCTCAAATGAATTCCCGGTTATCATTTTGAAAGTAGAAAACCTACTTTAGCTCATTTCCTTACCAAAATTAAAAGAATTCTGTGACTGCAGTTCAATTCAAGGTTTGGGTCTTATAATGCACTCCCACCAATTCAAAAAAAAAAGTGGCGAGCAAACAGTGGAAGCTCTCCTTGAGATTATTTGTAAGAGACCCGGAGCACTTACCATTTTACAAAGGAAAACCTGATATTCCGGTTGGATAATCAAATGGCTCGCCTCACTTCGTTTGCGAAGTTAAGGTTAGAAAACATGGGCTGTAATTTGAGGCGATGAAAGTTTCCCCTCTTTTCAGTCTGTTCAGCTGATTTGGGTATACTTTGTTTCCGGTCGGCCTTTTACCACCTCAAATTTTATAGCCGTATGCATGTGCACACGATATGCAACCTGTTGGTTTGTGTAAATGGTAATCATAAGCACCTCAGGTCCCGGTTTGAACCACCCGATAAATTTCTTCAGTAAAATGCAACTATTATTCTATTATCAAATCTGCGTTCTGATTGGTTGAGCTACTACTAGGCTATATATATTTTATAGCCCACTAGTAGCGAAAAGCGCCGGCTTTTCGGCAGCAAAAAAGGAGAGCTTAGTCTAGCTTTAAGCAGCTAAAATGTTTATATTTTTGACCAACTAGTTGGATTTTACTAAAAAAGTTATTCCTCTCGCCCTCGTGGCCTCTGAGTCAATAGCCCATTCGGGCTCGAGGAATAATTGTTAAATAGAGCGCATAAGTATTGGGGAAACTAATTACGCTATTCATTTGACAGAGATCTATCCAGTGGATATTGTTATCCACCTTTCGAGCAACTGGACCTAGCTCTGGTTAGCACCAGCATTGTAAAGCCTCGTTGACTGTGATCTACGGTATTAGCTTTGTCAAATAAGGCTCTGATAAGTGACCGAACGGTGTCCGTTAACAATCGGATGAGATATCAACTGACGGACAAACAACCCTTGGCTGTTTTATTTCAGTTAATAGCCCTGGTTAGAGGAAAAAGCATTTCTTCCCCTAATTACTGAAACTGCGTCAGATAATCGAGGCTGTTCAGATACTGACAATATGTATCTAACTAAAGTATTCCCCCTGCAGTTCTAGCCTTTTCTTCTACTTTGTTACCCACTGCAAGGACTTCCAACACACCTTTTCAAACGTCGTTTACCAGTCGATATACTATGCCGGGGCCCACAACCTCTTGCACCGTGCCTCTCAGTAGAAAACGAGGCACTTTTGATACACCAACATTTCGACCCACAAGTGTGCCTTGTTCATCATTCGATAGATGGCTTATTACAGTTCCTAAGGGGCACTATGTTGAGATGACTCTAGAAAGTGTAGACATGGGTTTACGAGCATGCTTCCTCGACACATACGTGATAGTACGAGATGGACATTCCAAACTTAGTAACGTACTTGGCATTTATTGCGAACAGGAAAACAAGCCTTAAAACATCCGTTCTAGCGGTAACAAGATGCTTGTGGAGATTGTTCGTGGTTGGAGATGGCTTCAAACTAATCCATACCAAGAAGGTCCCGGATTTAAAGCCCGTTATGTTGGAAGACAAATGCAAAATGGAGGTAGCACATTAATCATGGGCAAAGAATATTGTTTTTATAAGATAAGCTCCCAATCCATTCAGTTGCCTATAATACTAGTTTCTACTTCTGATTTCTTTTAGTGAAAGATTTGTCACTGAAAAAAGCATTCACAATAAGGTCTCAAGGCAGAAAAAAATGTGACGTTCAGGAACGATTGTTACTCGAAGTTGAAGTAATATATCGAATTTTACACCAGTTACACTGCCTCATCACTTTAAGGGATCAAAAGAGGGTTAAAAAGACCGCGTTGCGGCGGGAGAATTCTCAGGGGCACTCATCAACGATTTCCTTCTAACTACTTTGAAACACTCTCCAGAGTGCTTTTACATCTCTAGAAATGCGCTGCATTGTAAGCGGCGCCATAAATTTTTTTATCTGTTTGGCTGCCAGGGCTTCAGTATTATTTTCCCGAAAATTTTAGATTCAATTTAATGTATTACTGTGATGAATAATGAACATTCAATCAACGAGAACTTGATTACGTAATTAAGCTTAGTTTTGTTTTGATTTAGATAAGATACGTTTCTGTTCTGTTTCATTTATCGAGTTTCTACGCCCCTATTTTCTTGTACTATTGTTCACAGTTTGAATCTATTACTTAGCTAGCCATTCCTGTTTTTTAACCGGTTTTACAACTGTACACGTGAATTGTACCCTTATCAGAGAACGCCCCTTTAGTTTTTGTGGAGTTGGAGTTAGGAGATCTACGGAGCAACGTCGGAGTTTTCAGAGCGGTTTTATCTTTTTCGGAGTTACGTAACGTCGGAGTTTCTCTAGCCCTTAAGACAGGATCAGACGTAAGTTTCTGCCTATTGTATTTAGTTTTCGTTTTCCTTTCAATTTTGCTTCTTTTGTAATTAGCCTCAGCCCCTTTTTTGATCTTGTACATTGTAATTTCCCCTTTTAGTTTTCACCGCATGTGTACAATAATTCAGACGAGTTGGTGATCGTATTAAATGCTGTTGAGTCAACTTGTGCTGTTAAATTCTATACTGTGGTTGACACTTCCCGATCTCCAGTGCACAACACCCCGTGTCCGCTGCACTGGGTACGCGACAATCACGAAGGTGAGAATTTTTCTGATTCTTCTCTCTATCACCGATTTGAATCCGAAAATTTAAAGTTTCCCTTTTTTTGCAACGAAAATGGCCTTACCTGGAGAGTGAAATGTGAAAATTTAACGACAGAAAATCGTAGAGAATTTATGAGATAAGCTTCGAAAACTGAATATTCTAGTAGAATTGTAGGCACTATTTGCTTTTAGCTCCGAACAGATATTTTACAGAAAACAGTCGTTGGATTCCCCTCTTGTTGTTTTTGAGGAACATTTAACAACAAATTATAATTCTAGGAAGGGGTTAAGTTGTTAGGAGTTAAGGCTATCTAAACAGTTGACTAAAAGCCTGCACACTTCTAGCGCTAAATGTCGAAAGATGACATATACTCTATCCGCAATGATCAAGTTATCTTTTGGTTACACAGATTCTCCTCAATTTTTGGAGCCGATGCAAGAGGTAACAGTGTCTGGATACGTGACAACTTTGTGGTGTCAAGCACAGGGTTCCCCTGCCCCTGTTATAACGTGGATGAAAAATGAAACAGTACTACAAAATACCACCAGTGTAACGTACGAGCAGCAGCGGGATGCACAAGGAGTCTACAAATGTATGGCAAGTAACTTGTTCGGAGCAACACAGCAGAATACGCTACGGGTTTACAGACAAGGTTCGTGTCTCTTGAGCGTTAATAGACAGTTTAAGTATCGCGTTTACGTCAACGGCAAATGCGAATTTGTACCACGTGACCGAGTTTCCCATTGAGCTGTCATTACTTCTACACATAAATCAGCAGTGTCACGAAATTTTTTATCCATGAGCTGTTTTTATGTGCTCATTATCTGACGTTTGCCGTATTACTCCAAGCTTTGAAGCTGAGTAAAAACTCTCATGATCAAATATACTGAACTTAATTGCTAGACGAATTGGTTTGGGTAAATGGTAGTTAAGTGTCTAGAAATAGAGCCTACAATGTAGATAGTTCGATCGCGGCTTGCGGTGGGAGTTTTGTGATGTTTAATAAATAGCCATACATGTCCACACGAGTCCGTTTAGATAATAAAAGTGTATTACATACTTCTCAAAATTTAGCAAATAAATCACTTAACCACAAAACTTACATTAACCCTTTGACTGCCAGAGTGCTTGATGGAGTTTTGTACAGTGACTCTAACTTTTGAGTCAGTGTAGACGAAATCCTATGATGTGACATTCAAATGAAAGCTCTCTGCCTGTACTTTCAAAATTGTTTTTCAAAATTTTACAAAATGAAATTTGTAACTTTAGTCGAAATTTGCTTTTGGCAAAATTTGGCGGTTAAAGGGTCAAAGAGTATACATTTCAATCTCGTATTGCAAAACGTTACGTACTAACACGTTATTTACCGGAAACGTGAAAGATCATTTTGACGGTGTCCCGATTGCCTTGAGTATCCACCGTGACCCAACACGAAGACAGGCGATGAAGCAGGACTAACGTTCCAATTGATATCAACCCCCTTCATTGCCCACCCAGCCCATGAAAGGTTGTACCACACCACCGGGGTCTACGTCTTCTACTCTTTACGAACAGCAGTGTGGGTTCTTTCATCCGCTGACCATTATCACATGACCTTATCGCGAACTCAAGTTTCGACCCATTGAGGTTACGTGTCTTTTGAAGCCTTCCGCTGACAAGTATTTTGTATCCACACTGTTTGTAGACCTTTGTCCCCCGCATTTTATTTGAAGTACCAAGCACATCAGTTACAATAAATCTTCGTTCGAATTCGGTTTGTGGTTTTGTTCTTATAAAGGGCAAGAAACTTTTACACTTATTGCAGTTTCAATTACATTGCTCGACTAACCAATTACAGTTACATGCGACAACTTCGCAAATGCCGCCACGTCGTTACCACAGCGTGTTTTGATCATGAAAAAGTCCAGAAAACAGATCTTAAACCTCTGCTGTTTGTAAAAAGTGAAGTCCTCCATTACAATAGCTGGCAGTTTTTCAGTATTAAACATACATACATACATACTTTATTTAAGGTATCATAAGAAATAAAAGACACAAATAATACCCTAAAAAGGAAGTTTAAGAGGTTAACCCTATGTAAATAAACTTCCAAAAATAAAAATTGAAAAGATATGTTTATGAATAGAATCTGAGATGGATGAAAACCTAAGAAAGACGCATGTACGATTTAAGAGCTATTTTAAAACGTCTTAAATTTCCTATCTCAACAACATTGGTGGGCAGGTCATTCCATTCACGAATAATTTTTAATTTTAAAGCACGATCAGCTCAACAAAATACAGCTGCTTACAATTTGTTGTTCAATTTTCTTCTTCTGTAGTAAACAAACCACAAACGTATTCTTTCATCATAGGTTCGCATGAATGTGTTGACTTTTCCAGTAAGACAGCTTTCATAATTTATCACGAGTAATGAGTGCAGAATTTCGTGTTTTGAAGTGCTGCTGTTTGTTGTTTGACTGAACTGAAAGTTCAGCGCCATTAAATCGTGAGTCATGATTGGCTTATGATGACCTTGGAGAGAAGACATGACTTGATCATGGTACTAAAACCACATTCTCTACTCTAAAGACTCTGCTAAAAATCAAGACTGGAAAGCTTGTAAGACTCGCCTTCGGTCGTGACTTACAAGCTTTTCTCGTGTTCTCTCAACATTCTGCGTGGGTTATCACGGTGGTAAACCCATAGAAAGTGCAGTAGTCTATTCAGCTTAATTTTCTTCGTTTTCTGCCTTAAACCATCCTTAGAAACCTCTCCTACTGTAATTATTGCTGTGTGTGATTGCCATTTTGCCTTTAATCCATCTTGTCATTCAGTATTTCTATAAAGTTATTGTTCCTAGTCTTATCGCTAAAGTTTTTACCAATGTGTTTATAGTTTATTTTGTTTTAATATAGACTGTTCACAGTCCTCTATTTTTCCGTAAGATCGTCGAGATCGAGCGCTTTGCGTTACGGGCTGCCATCTTGCTTGAGTGTCAAAACTACTTTGGGGGCGGGGGCAGTTTGGGAGGAAGCGAGAAAAAGAGAGGGACTGTAATAACATCACTGCAGCTCGCGTTCAGGAGGCGTGACAGGAATTTCACGCTTTTACCATTCATTAATTAAGAAACTTCGCTGGCGATGAAAAACATGCCAGACACATTTAAGGCCATTTAGCATCTATTTCGCGTGTTTACAAATATCTCCTTTCGAAACGGTGATTTTATACAGTATCTGGGCCATTCCTCCAAATAAAATCAGCAAACATGCACAGGTGAAACATTTTCCTGATCGAAGTGCTAAGCACGCCATCCTCACCACAGATTAAAATAGTTAAACCTCCCGATAAAAGGCCAGGCATTTCTGACAGGTCGTCTTTTTTGCTTCGGCGTAGCGTTAAATTTTTAGTTCGTTTGGCAGAAACTGTTTTACGAAATTCCCCTGGCCGGGCTGCTTCAAAAGCAACTTGGCTACATTATTCACCCTCAGAATATACCAAAAATTGTTCATGTGTTTGCGCAAGATGTGCTTATGGTAGTATAATATGAAAGCATACGTCTTATAGAAACGACGACTTGTCGACGACTTGTCAGTGTCGGCAGCTTAAACTAAACCCGTTGTCAGCGCAAATTGACATCTATTGTCTAATGACCAATCAAATGCCTGCGTTGCTAGTACAACGAGCTCCGTCAACGCGAGCTGCAGTGATGTTATTACAGTCCCTCTATTTTTCTCGCCCCTTTCCCCTACAGCTATAATCCCCGTCGCCCGCCCCGGTGGTACATTTGAAACTCAAGATGGCCGCCATTAACATAAGACGCGCTATACCTTAGCCTCCCGCGCAGGCGTTTAACGATCTCAGGAAAAAATAGGGGACTGTGAACAGTCTAGTTTTAATAGAACTAGGATATCTTGTCCCCGCCTTTAATAGTTCCCATACTACTTGCGGATGAAACATGAGTTTATTTCTACCACTGTGGAAATAAATAAACAATACATACAGTAGTGGGACACTCAAAATCACTAAAAAGCTAAACTAGTCGGGTGACTGTGATTATAATAAAAAACATGAAAATGTAAAAAGAGGCACAGCAAATACATTGGTACACATAAGCTCACATAGATGTCATAAACTTGATACAAAAGTAAATATAAACAGAACAAAACAAAATATCAGTAAATAGAGACGGACACACCGTTGGGATGAATGTACTAATCAAAATAAAGACTGTGGTTGTTTTGTTATTTTTGTCCCAGCTTGCTCAACAAAGTGTTATTGCCAAATGCTGGAGGCTCGTCCTTTTTGGATGAAAGCTGAATGTCATTATCAAGACCTAACTGTAGCTCCATTCGACATTCCTCGAGCAGTTAAATACCTGTAAGTCAAGATTTGGCCCGAAACAGAGTTAAGCTGGTATTTTGAAAAATCCCGTTCAAATCCCTATCCGGTTTACTCAACCCTAAAATGTAAACGTCATCATAGTTAGTAGAGGAGACGGCCTTTGAAAGCCGGCAAGAATCAAAGTTGAAAACAACGGCGGTGCAGTTTGTGTTGGAAGCTTCCTGACGAGCACAATCTTCTGATTTTGTTCACAAAGTGCGACTGAATAAATTAATGCAATGTTTCTATTGATCAGTAAGTTCAAAATGATAGGAATGCTACTGAACGTTGTGCACGGTGAGCTCCAAAAAAGCTAACAAAAACATCGTATAACAAAGAAGTCTATTAGGAGTTTCATAACCATCTACTTTAATAACAACTATTCTTGTATACAGTACTCATAGCTAAGAAGAGAGAGAACCTAATGGAAGAATATGGAGTATTGTTATATTCCTAGACTTTCACTCGACTAAATAGGGACTGCCATTGGTTGATTCTTGGTCACGTGGCCTTGACCAAAATCAAATGTATCCCGATCGTGATACATTAAGTAATGTACCCCGCTCGGGCTACATTACAGCACGTGATGAAAGCATGGTGGAAAGTGGCGTGACAGAAGGCGGGAAAAACACAGCCAATTTTCTTTTTCGTGAATGAACACAAGAACACAAACAGGAAACCTCAAGCTAAAAAGCAACGATTTTTAAAGTTATCCCAGAAGAGAAGTAGTAGCTAGTAGAGGAAAAAGATGCAGATGATATAGGGAAAGTAGTTTTTAAATCGTTCACTCAGTGGTTTTAACAGGGTTTTGAGAATTAGATTTGTGTTGTTATAAGTACCGAGTCGACTGTTTTGGTTCTCTCCGGTTATTCTTTTGTTGCTGTTGAAGTGAAAGTCTAGAAATATAACGAAGCACTTAATGTCAGGTCCCTCGGGAAACCAGTTAGTTTTGTTTTCCCTCGAGTCCTGATGACTCTCGGGAAAACAAAACTAACTGTTTCCCTCGGGATCTGACATTAAGTGTATAATGTTTGGACATTTTTTATTTTATTTGTTCATTTATCTTTGCCTGAATGTAGCGAAGCGTAATGAAACAAAAGATAAATGGTTTCTTGAATTCCCAAGCACAAGTGCATTTGTCGGCAGTGTGTTTTAAGTGCCGGCGTGAGATTATGGGAAGAAAGTGTGATATGTAAACTAGCAAGTATATATTCGCTGAACAGTAAACAAGTTTCATTGTGGATTTTTACAAGCGGACAGTTAAATTTTGTTCTTTTTTATATTTTGGTTGAAATCCTGTAATCCATTTCCTCGTAACGATTTTAGTTGTGCTTTCCTGATGATTGACAGTCATTATAAGTGGTTTTGTTTATTCAATTTACTTTGGCCGGATCGAACGTATAGAGTTTGTTTAATTTTTTGGTGTCTAAACAGTGTAAACAGTTGTTTTTGTTTTGTGATTAGTTGGTTAGTTCAATAAATGGGCTAAGAATTGTCTTCTTATCCCGCACCGCATTTCTGGTTGTCAGTTTTTTGGGTGCGGGGAATTCAAGAATACTTTTTTATGAACGTATGTTAAAGATTGGTCCCAAGATTTCTGAGATTTTAATTAAGTTATATTTTATTCTTTAAGGCAATTAATTTTTTATTGATGTAAAGCGCTTGTGAACTCTTAAGGAATAAGCGCTATATAAATAAATTGTTATTGTTAATGTTATTACATTGCTGAGTTGTATACTGGACCACTTATTGCCTCTAACTCTTACAGACACACAACATAGACACCCAGCCAGGATTACAAACGGCCCCAAATTTCATGCCCTAGGGTCTAGCACACTAACCGAAAGGTCACCATACTTTTTCTGCCTTTAGGTCAATGATACATTTATTGATTCCTCTAGGATTTCCTTAACTTATTCGAGGCTTCCACTGGACTGCATTTCCACATATAAGTCCACGTCCTTTTTTACATTATTTCTTATTTCATTCATATTTTTATTGTAGATTGTGTACGTACCTCTATTTGCGGGGAGGTATACCTGCTGGCCTATTTATCAATTCGACGAATCTCCAATACTTGTGAGTATAGAATAACTTTAAATAGGTAAAATAATTTTCTTGAAATTTTTGGCTATGCTTGCTTTTTGTCCTCACTATTTTTGTTCTTTCTGTCTTGTGCTATTTCATTTTTTTTTGTGAAATACCTCTTATTAACGCTGGGGACGACTACGAGACAAGCCATGGTGATTAGCTCAAATTCCCCTTCTTTTTACAAGTGTATTTATAACCAGCTAACATTAACCGAATTTGAAAGGCTTTTGCGAGATCCGGTAAAAACAAAGTAACGTCAATAAGGCAAGATAAATCGGAAATACATGTTTGGCACGGCAATCGAGAAGGTTGCGTCGGCTCAGCTGTTTTGCGGAAAGGAGATAGACCAGCTACTGCCAAAAAACATGACAAGAACAATGACAATACAACTCCAAAGATGAAAATATTCAAAGAATATACCTGCTAGATATTATTACATTCTTTTATTTCCTACATTGGCCGCGCAACAGCAAACAAAGATAACAGTAGCTGAAGTGAGCATGTTTAGCTCGTTTTAAAAGTATGAATTATTTTGAATAAATCATAAAATAACCATCAAATTCGACTTTTCTATGAGCTAAAGAATAATGCAAATCTCAGAAGGTGTCACCCGCCCAAGCCAAAGCCTTCATGGCCTTGGTGGATATAATTATATACAGCACCCTCCTCCTTCTGATAATTCTTTACATCACACTCAACCTCATCACTTTCAAAGGCAATTCCACAAAAACATTCATCTTCAATTAGTTCATCATAGCATTATAATTAATAACAAAACTGTGAAAAGAAATTGGCTTCGTTCAAGCCATATATAGCTGATATATATATTGATAATACAACAAAAAAATAATCTTGATGGTTCCTGAACAGGTCGATGCAAAACACGCGGCTGGAAAACTTGACAAAGAGTGTCTTTCTTGGACTCCAAAACTTAAAGATTTTGTGAGTATTAAGAATTGTGGAATGAAGGAAACAATGACTTGGGTGTTTTAGTTTAAAATCATCGCTCTGTAGCAGCCATTATAATTTGTCTCCTTTCCAGTTGTGAAACTTATTACGGTGGCAGTTTTTACTTATACTAGGAAGACTTCGGTAGTTCCTACTTCTGTCCTCGGACAAGAAACCGTAGGGTTCCTTTTGAAATAAACTCATAGATATAATAATGCGATCGTAAAAATATTCAATTTTGGTATTTATTTTATGAATACTAAGTTTTTAACCCTAAATTACATATTAAAGCTAATTTTAGTTATAGCTAATCATACAGATCTAGAGTGTGGCAGGGTTGTTACTTTAAAGTTACTAACCTTTCATGAATAGTTCTTCTTATCCCTTTAGACCCTCTTGCATCAGATTAAGCTGGGATTGTTCAAAAGAATAACTTGTAAGATACATGATATTCCAACTCTAACTCAACTTAGACTACGAGCAGTCTCTCTATTTTCTTGATCCATCGAGCAAAACGCGAGAGACACGCAAATCACCACGCGCGTTACTGAAGGTGCGAGACAGGCCCTCGTTACTCGCGTCTCTCGACGCTCGAGCGCGCATGTACTCCCCTCACCCAATCTGAAGAAAAAGAGAGACTGCTCGCAGTCAAAACTCAACTCGTCTTGGTTTAAAAAATTACAAGGTTTTCTCGAGCTGTTTCGTGTGACACACATTTTTCAAAAGACATGCACAGTGTAACTAGACAGGTTTTAGAAGGACATTAAGTTAATAATCAGTAAATGGACAACATTATTTTATTCCAGGGAAATACGGAATAATTACCCCTCCGGAGGATTTAAAATCAAGAACCGTGCATTTAATAATCTCTCATTGGAATATCTGTAAGTGATTGTATATCGGCACCACTTGAAATATATGAATGTTCTCGGCCGAATAGGCTTTGGGTTGTCTAGCATTTCAATAAGTTCAGCCAGACCAATGGGGCTGGACACAAACGTGGCTCATAACTCGTATACATGTGCCCTCCCCTACCCAATATCACAGTCCACAACAGATGGAAACAAGAGGTTGGCTCTACCAGAAATTGTTACATCTTACAACAGTCAGATCAGTGAAGTTAGTGTTGTGGTACTGGGTTGACAAATTTTTTGCTCTTATGCGAAAAGACTGGGAACCCTAACCATCTGCCAATTTGAGAACAAATATCGATTCTCCTCTACTATAGGACCTCGGAGTGTTCCGAACTGGGGCTTGCCGCTACGCCAGAGAGATTTTAAATGCAATAGCCCAATACTGGCACGTGCAGAACAGCTGAACTTTACAGATACGTAAAATATTATTTAGGGCTACTTGAGAGTCAACATACAACTTCTCAAAGTCACGACACTTAACGTCGTCATTATTAATTTAATGATTATTTCATTTGTTTTAACAGAGATCTGAGTAACAACAAAACTATTATTATTTGAAGAATACAGTTTTATAGGCTTGAAAAGTGTAAAGTATCTGTGAGTATTCGACCTCTTTACCTGATTTACATATGTTTTTTACACTCTTATGGGATTAGTGTTTCATGATTATGTAAAATATTAATATTGACAAGAACTGTTATAGTATACGAAATATACGGTTGGTTCGATTTGAACTGAGATTTGAATAAAAACTGGCCTATGTTCCGATACCATATTCTATTTACGAGAGCCGTCTCGTGTAGGTTGCAATTTCGTTTGTAAATACCTCGATGCTTTCCCAACAACTCCTGTTAGTGACGAAGTAGCGACTAATTTTTTCAGCATTTTTCGTGACCAAAAAATATTGATGACGCTTGTTGATTAAGCATATGCCAACGCACCAGATTTAGTGACCTTCCTTTATAGGAATCACTAGTATATCAATAGTATCCGGCCTTCGAAAAACAACCACTGTATGTGGTCAGTTACGGAGTCCTATACCTGCGTTTTTTGAGAGGCTGTTTTTGTCTACATTTGATTAAACTGAATGATATATTAAAAGACTAATCTATATTTGATTAAACTGTATGATATATTAAAAGACTAACTCAGTACATATACCAGCATTTCAAAACTTTAGTTACTCGTGATCAAAAAATCGTAAGGAGATCTGTTTGCTGACTAGTTGTAACTATTTGTTTTTAGGGATATTTCGTACAACAACATAAATTCATTACCTGATGGTATCTTTCGATGGCTCTTTCAACTGCAGTTCCTGTAAGTAAATTTGATTTAAATCTTGCAATAAAAATTTCATGGTGATAAGCAGGTTACAATATTTGAAGAGATATCAGTAGCTGAAACACAGTTCTTTAGTGTTGGCTGTGTTCACTCAGTTAGCTACAATGGAATCGATTTTTGTTCTTCATACAATTAGCCAACCTTCCTTGCAAAGACGATTTATATTTGGACGTGAATTTTTAAAAAAAATAATTTTCATATCAATGGCTTCGCATTTGGGCCTTGCCTTTTTCAGCAGAGACCAGAGGCAACTCGGAAAGGACCTATTGATTGTATATGCTAAATGCCTCTTTCTTGTAGGTGTACTGTATTTCATTTCCTTATTCCGGATTCTCACTGCACGAGAAAACCTCTTTATTCATTCTCGTCAGTACCATGAGAAGGCCATTCAATCTTGGCTATACCGGATCAAGTTTTGAACCGCACAGAAACTGATCCGGTATACTAGGGCTTGCACAACCTTTTTTTTTCTGTGGGACGGGAGGAGGATGGGTGACTATGACATAAGGTAGGAGGCTGAAAAGCCATTTTCAAAAGCCGAATTGAATATTTACTACTTGGTTTATCGTTCATTCAAAATATTTCTAATCAATTTTGAATGAATGACCATCAGGTTTCAATCTCTTTTGTTATCTATTGGAGATATATGAAATGTTGTCGTCGCCGGTGCTGTAGGCAACTGAATTAGTGTCAGGGAATCGATGAGATGGACTTATTTGTTTGATGCTAAAATGAGTAAAGCTAATCAGAGCTGTTTTCCCTGAATTAACATAAGGAGGGAAGATATTGATTTAAGTTGACGTGCATGGCCTGAACCTATGTATTTGCGCGTTGGTTATGTTTTTCAATCGGGTTTTTCGGCAGGAATGATTTAACCGATTTCTTTGATTTACGGGATCCTTAATAAAGAATAGTCGAACGTTAAGAAAATGCTATTTATTTTCTTCTAGGTGTAAAAACGGTTGCGACATTGGCATATGTTTAAAACCGCATTTTTTTAAAAAATGGCAATAATTTCAAAACCCTAAGACAGATTTTTCTCTAACTTCGGCAAATAAGCCTAAGAGCTCTCTAGTTTTGTAGGGTTTCGAAATTATTGACATTTTTTGTAAAAATGCGGTCTTAAACATATGCCGATATCTCAGACGCTGTTAAACCTACAAGAAAATAAATAACATTTTCTTACAATTCGACCATTCTTTATTAAGGCCGCCAAAAATCGTGGAAATCGGTTGAATTCATCGCTGCCGAAAAACGAGATTCAAAAACATAACCAACTCGCATATAAATAGGTTCGGGCTACCTTAATGTGATGATTTTTTACCAGAGAAGATCTAACTTGACAGTAAATTTGATATTGCTACTCATAATGCTATATTTCTTGTTAAGACATCCTCCCTTATTACCTTTAGACAGCCGGTTTTGTTAGGTACAAGCACAATTACAATGCACATGAACAGTAGTGTATACTTTGACTATCAGAGGTTTTCCATTAGATTTTGTCGAAAAAGAGAGTCTGACATTCAGCACGTTACTGCGCATGTTTATGGCATGAAGAAATCGCCAAAGGATGATTCTTGTACGTTTTCTCTACTACATCAATTCCATGTAAATTGACTTACATTACTACAGCGATGTATAGTTCTCCTAACCCTGGCATTAAAGACAATCTCCACGCTATGTTCATTTTGTAGATTAAGAATGTGACAAATCCAACAAACTTTAAAGCAAAAGCGTTTTGAAATTACGCATTAACATCGGTGAAATTCTTTTTAACAGTTGTGAAGAAATATTACCGCTTTATTAATAAGTCTCTTTCATCATGATCTGGAATGTTTTTATACGGATAATTTAAAGTCAACTGTTAAATATCAAATGTTGCCTTAAAATCAAGCGTTTCTCGACCCACGGCTTATAGGCAGAACCCATCAACTGTTTAAATCAGTTTAACTATTTTCACTCGATCGTCTAACAGAGCAGATGACATTGAGATTACTTAAAAGCGAGCCTGATTCAAATATTATTAGACCAAGAATGGCGAATTATTTTTCTACTATCAGGCCCTTGCATTAATTGCTACTGTTTTAATTATAAACCTTAAGGTATTATGTGAGACTGTATAACCGCAATCAAGCACTTTTTCCAATTTTCAGGTAAAGTTTTGGATTAACATGGCTATAACCAATTGTAAAAATCTTATTTGCTCATGATTTCCACGCCATGGACAGTGTTAATATACAGGCGGATAATAGCTGGATAAATTTTAACTTTGGTAAAAACATTCATGCTACTTTTTTTTTCAAATAGCAGTAAAGCGAGTAAAATCTTAACTGTGGTTGTATAAATCGGTGAAGTGACGGTTAAGTGGTCGTCATATTGATTGGAACTGAAATTTAATGTTGAAAAGTACGCTCTAAGTTCTCTCTATCTAACACTTGTTTCGCAAATGCAATAATGACTTTAAGGTCCATTCAGTTTTGATTGTCATCGAACGATGAACGCGCATGCAGGTGGTGGACGCGTTAATAGCTCACTGAATCAATATTTGCGGTCTTTATATGTTAATTTATTTTTTCTCATCCCCAGTTTTCAAATGCTTTATGAACAGAGAAGGGTTTCTTTACGGTGGCTAGTGAAATGATAAAGAGACATGAATAATACCAGCGCAGTTTACAGTCCAGACCAAACACGCTGCTCCTCTAGCGTGTCCGAAACAGTAACGGTTGTTCTTTCAACGGTCAGCTTGCTGGCGTTAATGGGAAATTCTCTTATCATCCTAACATTTATTAAGTCTGTTAGCCTTAAAAACAGCTCTAACTACTACATCGTTAACATGGCGGCTTCTGATCTGGTTTGTGTTCTCCTTAAAAACTCAGCTTTCGCTTAACAATTTGGCGCAAAATGGGAATTTATTCACGATCAGTGTCGTAGGAGGTTTCCATTCTAAGCTTCCACTAAAGGCTTTAAACATATCTCGAAAGCCTCGCATATTCTTTCTGCTTATTAGTTGGTTGTTGCCAGCGATTTCCCTAGTACCGTACCTGTTTTAGCGGAGCTCGCACGCGCTTGGACGGAGCCCCATAGCTAAGGAAATGTGGTAATCTACCAATCCGAGAAAATTTGGTAATCACGTGACCGTACGCCCGACCGTCCTTCCGCACCCCAGGGAAACCAATGTTTACTCTCACACTTTCTAGCAAGTTTGGGAGCCCAAGAGAAAACTAATTCCACATCAATGTTGGATCAATTGACACCTGTCAAAACAGGGTTTCCACTGACCAGTATCACCTGACCGTACCGCGGACTCAAGTGTCGACCAATCGAGGTCGACTACTTTTGAAGTTATCCGCTGACAAATTACCAGTTTCAAATGATCGCAGGCTCAAGTTTATTTTTTTCCAATGATTCATATGAAATATGTTGTGTTGATGTCACTATATATATGGCCCCATACTGTTAAGATGTTGATTTCAAACTGACCTCGGACGCGAAAATTCAGCCAGTTTTTAAAAATGCAGGCGGGGAAGACCTTTTCTTACCATGGTCACGCGTTGGTCACGCTCTACGTCCAATTTTATGTCTGATTGATCAAGCTTTGATAGGTGAATTCATGCGGAAAATTTATGCAGCATCTTGAAAGTTGTTTACTTTGACAGCTGAAGCTGGCTGAGTTTTGTGTCAACTTGTAATATTTTCAAGTGTCTTTTTCCACTGGATGTACAGTATAAAATACAGCTGCTATCAAGACTCTTCTGTTATTCATGGCTGGTTTGTTTGTTGGGTTTTTGGTTGAGAAATGCGCCGCTTGTCAAAATTCGGTAATCCGATTTCGGATGGCATCGTTTTCGTTTTTCACCTTGCTTAATGCGTAAGAGGGTTTAAAAGTCTCAAGCAACTGTGGCCTTCCTTGATATCTTTCAGGAACTGAATCTCGAATGGTAAGCCAAAGTAATTATTGTATTTAATGTTTGTTTTTGTTATATCTAATTTCATGAAGTCGAGCACAGTTTATGCGTCCAGCTTATGCTCGTCTGTAAGATTTGAGTCAATGATCTGACCTAGCCCAGGTTTGATAAGCTTACAGAACTTTAAAAGACCTTCAGACGTATTTTCTCACTGCAAATAGAAAGAAAACATTCCGAAGAATATTTAGTTTTATACAATGATGTGAATGCTACGCGCGCTGTGATTGGTTGTTGCCCATGATCTATTAGAGTACAGATACATGGATGACGTCACGGGAAACTTGTTTTCTTTGTTTTGTTCAACATGGCACGCGGTTTTGAAAATGTTTGTGAGATTATTTCGGATTGAGGCAAGTGAAAGCTTCGGAAAAAGTTTAGCAGGAGCTATTTACAAAGAAGAAAAATGGAGAAACGGAGACCAAAAAAGCTATTGACTACTTGACAATGCCTAAACTACAAGAAATCTTCACAACAGTTGCCATCGTGTGTCTTCGCTACGAGAGACTCGCTGTTTTGCAAAATGTTTTCGCTATTATTCTTCTTTGAGCAAGAAAAGACGATGAAAAACTTTTCGAAGAAACTGTACACAAGTAAGATAAAGAAGAATCTAAGATGAAAAGTTGGGTTTGGGACTTAAAAAATGCCTAAACTAGCACAAATCGTTTTCACCTTTGAAAAAAGAAAAAACCGGGAGGCAGGCTTAAAGTAAAACATAATTAACTTAAGCTTAAGCTTCAGTAGCTTTAAGCTTAAAGACTCAGGTTTTTTAGAGACACTTTAATACTTGTCTTCGTGAAAAAAATTGTTGTCTCTGTAAATGTTTCGGCGAGTTATATTTCTTTTATTGATTGTTAGTAGGCTCTCTTGCAATTTTAATCGCTTGTCCGTGGCGTTTGTTTTCATCGTTCATGAACATCGCTTGCAGAAGTACTCAAAAATGTCGCGCATATCAAACGCTTTATGACATTAGACATCGTTATAACTGAAACCATTAAATAACAAAAAATAATAATAAATTCGCTGTTATGTTGAAGCGTAACTCTATTAAAGTTCATTCAAACACTCGACCACACTGACAGCTCGCACCAGAAATGAGAACCGGCTGGCGGTATGGCTGATTTTGGAACTTTTTTGAACGGTTTCGCTAAAAGCCCACGATTGATCGTCCTGAACATTGACTGAGTACAATTTGGCTTGAAAAAATTGTGAAGTACCGCATTCTGTTCGAGGTCTGTATGATAAATAGTACTGTCTCACCTCAGACGTGATGTATAAAAAGTATAAAAAGTTGGTTTACACACCCCCAGATTTGTTGGCAAGAATTTGTAAGGTAAACCTGTCGAACGCAAAAAAATTCGGCCTGATTTGTTTTCAATAATTTGTTTTCGAGGCCTAATCTACTGTGATCAAGGGCCATTATGCCTCTTGAATGTGATCGAAGATGTTCGCTATGTTTTCGGCCTACACATAAGGCTATCAACTCGATGTAAGATGTTTCACTCTAAAATAACTTAGCCTTTCCCTCAAAAGTCACATGAATGTGCCCTAAAGTTAATTGATTTGTGGATTACAAGTTTATTGTTTGATTTAAATTATAAATTTATTAATGGGAGCTTCGCTTTTAGCTCTGGCTAGGTCTATATATTATACGAAAATCCTTGAAATATAGAACCAAACGCCTGTTTGTAGAAACCTGACGAGTGGCTATTCGAATAGTTTTATAAATATGAAAGAATTTTCTTCAAATAATATCAACAGAAATTTGATTCAATTTAAGATTATATAAAAAAACGTTGATTCACGTCCTGATAGCTCCCGATTTCGCCATGTGATTCTGGCTTGATATGCAGTGAAAAACAAAAAGGCATAAAATCGAGAACATGCCTTTACAACCCTCTTCAATTTTTTTTGGTCCTTGACAGATGTGCCAATATGCTTGTTTTTCCAGTAAAATCCTCTGCGTAGTTAATCTGGTAGAAAATCGCATGCGTGTCAAAAGCCTGGGAATATATAGCCCCGGGGCTGGTGAATGCCCGGCCTCCTGGCAGAGCAAGATTTGCAAGTCCCCCTGGGACAGACAAGGCAGGAAAATGCCCGCAGTAGCGCGGGGGGTTGGGTGCAGCTGTAGAGTAAATTTGACATTGCTACTCACGTTGAGACTGGTTTTGTTACGCATAAGCACAATTACAATAAACGTGAACAGTCAAAAGTAAGTTGAGTTTGATCGTCCGGGTGAACGTAGTCCTGAATAGGACCTGTTGTTGTTGACAGTGACTGACGTTTCCACAACCTGTGCGGTAGTCATCTTCAGAGTCAAAGTGAGTTGTATCACGTCAGTTGATGGTATTATACTCTGGTTATTGATCTGATTGGTCAATTACGTCGTGATGTCATGGGTCGTCTGTCAGTTAAGCGGTGATGTTATTGGCTATGAAGACTCGTAATCAGAAATTGGTGCGTTTCGATCCGTCTATTGTGACAGTTAAACAGTCGTCTATTGTTAGTCAAATCGTCATTCTCTCGTAGTCAGTTTTGCTTGATCTCGTCAATAAGTCGTTTGTACGGCGCTGGTAACTGTTGGCTACGATTCAGTGGCGTTTGTTCTAAGTTAGTAAACCAGCTTTCTAAAGTAAGACGTTGATAGTAGTCTGTGGAATACGTTATACTTGTCGCAGAGTCCCAGTCAATTTGATGTTTCGTCTTTAAATGGTGCTCAGCAATGTGATTGTTGACGTCACCATTCTTCGTAGCTCGTTTGTGTTCGGTCAGTCGCGTGCGTAGGTTTCTGCCGGTTTTACCAATGTAACAACAACAACAACAACAGTCCTATTCAGGACTACGTTCACCCGGACGATCAAACTTTTGAAATGACTCCTGGGTTCAAACCTTTCACAAACATGAATAGTGGTGTATACCTTGACTACAGAGGTTTTTCATTAGATTTTGTGAGTCGAACAATATATATAGTCTAACAGCCATTACGTTACTACGCATGTTTATGGCATGAACCCCCCAAAGGATGAAAACTGATACTTGTGCACGTTTTCTCCACCACATCAATTAAAATGACTTCAGTACAATGGCGATCTATAGTTCTCCATTAGACCCGACATTAACACAATCTGCATCCTATTTTTATTTTGTAACTTTAGAATGTGACAAATCCAACAAATTAAACCTTACAACAAAAGCGCCTTTGAAAGGATTATGCATTAACATCGGTGAAATTCTTCTTATATAGAAATATTACCACTTTATGACTAGGCCTATTTCATCATGATGTGGCATATTTTTTATGCGAGGAAATTAAAGTCAACTGTTAAATATTGAGTGTTGCCTTACAATCAAGCGTCTCTTAAGGAACGGCTTATGGGCTGAACCCATCAACTGTTTAAGTTAATTTAACTATATTCACTCGATCGTCTAACAAAGCAGATGACATTGAGATTACTCAAAAGCGACTATTGAAATATTAAAACTGTGAAAGGTTTGAACCAGGAGTCACTTCAAAAGTAGGTTGAGTTCGATCGTCCGGGTGAACGTAGTCCTGAATAGGACTGTTGTTGTTGACAGTGACTGACGTTTCGAAAACCTGTGCGGTAGTAACACCAAGCATGGCAAATTTTATTGCAAATTTAAATTTCTTCCAATTATAATCCTTAAGGTATTATGTGAAACTGTATAACCGCAATCAAGCACTTTTTCCAATTTTCAGATAAAGTTTTGGATTAACATGGTAATAACCAATTGTAAAAATTTTAATTGCTCATGATTTGCACGCCACGGACAGTGTTAATATACAAGCGGATAATAGCCGGATAAATTTTAACTTTGGTAAAAACATTCAATTTTTACTTTTTTCAAATAGCACTGAAGTGGTCGTCATATTGATTGGCACTGAAATTTAATGTTGAAAATTGCGCTCTAAATTTTCAGTATCTAACACTTGTTTCGCAAATGCAATAATGACTTTAAGATCCATTCAATTTTAATTGTAATCAGACGATGAAAGCGCATGCAGGTGGTGGACGCGTTAATAGCTCACTGAATCAATATTTGAGGTCATTTTATGTTAATTTACTTTTCTCATCCCCAGTTTTCAAATGCTTTATGAACAGAGAAGGGTTTCTTTACGGTGGCTAGTGAAATGATAAAGAGACATGAATAATACCAGCGCAGTTTACAGTCCAGACCAAACACGGTGCTCCTCTAGTGTGTCCGAAACAGTAACGGTTGTTCTTTCAACGGTCAGTTTGCTGGCGTTAATGGGGAATTCTCTTGTCATCCTAACATTTATTAAGTCTGTTAGCCTTAAAAACAGCTCTAACTACTACATCGTTAACATGGCGGCTTCTGATCTGGTTTGTGTTCTCCTTAACTGGCCGCTCTATGCTACTGAAGGGATGTTAAAACCTGGCGGAAGTCTAATTACAAACTCAGCTTTCGCTACAATTTGCTGCAAAATGGGAATTTATTCACGATCAGTGTCGTATGTGGTTTCCATTCTAAGCTTAATGCTCGTCGCTGTGGACAGATTTATTGTAACCGCGTTTCCACTAAAGGCTTTAAACATATCTCAAAAGCCTCGCATATTCTTTCTGCTTATAAGTTGGTTGTTGCCAGCGATTTCCCTAGTACCGTACCTGTTCTATACGAAAATCGTTGAAATAGAGAACCAAACGTTTTGTAGAAACCTGACGAGTGTATATTTGCTGAGGATATATTACGCCGTGGGTTTTGTCTTATTCTACTGTGCTCCGCTTATTTCAATTCTCATCTTGTATCCTCGTATCATGAAACATTTACGGACATCTAGAGTAAAGGTTGACAACGGAGGAGGGAGAACTGCTCTTGCTTCAAAAAGACTGAAACAAAGCCGGAACATCATGAAAATCTTTGGATCAATCGTTCTGACATTTTTTATTTGCTGGACACCATATTATGTTTATTTGTTCCTGAAATCCTTTTATCCTTCGATATTTCTGAAGGATAAATGTCTCTTTCTTGTTGGTTTATTTTATTATTTATTTCCTATTCTTAGTACAGTAACAAACCCCTTTATTCTTATGCTTTTTAGTACAAGCTATCGTGAGGCCATAAAAAGCTTATGTATATCTTCCTGTTTGCTTCCAAAACGCCCTTCTCGACGTATCGCTCCTGTAACAGTTTCACAGCAGGCCCGAACTTTGAGGCCACGAACACACATATCCGGATATCGTTGAAAATAGAGATTTTTTTCTCCTTTTTCAAAAACATACGCATCTTCAAGTAGCGTTATCAAGTAGTTTCTGTTGATCCACACGAAAACGCTAAAGCGATGCAAATACGACACGTTGTCCTGTACAGAGCGTGCGCTCTATGATGTATGACATCATCGTAATTAAAAACCTTCTTTTTTGTCCATCCATACAAAAACGATAATCCGGCGTGTGCAAAATTCTTCACTTTGAGATTGTTCTTAAAAAGTCTGCGTTTTTTGTGCCCGAAAACGCCGTTTACGTGTGGATGGAAGACTAAAACAAAGGAAAATCTCCGTTTTCGAAAATGATCCGGATACGTGTTAACCTTGAACTCTGAAAATCTACGGAACTTAAGTTGTTCTTATGAGTGGAAAAAGATATCACTACCTTAAATGGGCTAAGACTCTCTGCACGTGGTCACGTGGAAATCAACATGAATCAGAACTACTTCGTGAGGAGAATAATAATGAGGAATTCTCTTTTTAAAGATTAAAAAGCCTATTAGTATGTGTAATCAAATGGTATACTCGTGAAACTAGGGAATAATTTCACTTGCGTTTTGTCCAAATCCTAATAATTTCCCGAGCCTAGTGAAATTATTCCCTAATTTCACAAGTATACCATTTGATTACCTATTAATATCATGGGTGACGAATTACGTTAGCAATCTTGGATTTTTGACATGTTTATCCTGGACCGTATCGATCGAGAACTCCACTCTCTCAGATGTTTAGACCTTAAATTTGGCTTATAAAGTTCAGAATTTTTCAGACTTTTTCGGCGCAATACCTGTTAGAATCCTTCTTGATATTCTCTTGTGTGTTCAGGTTTTCTAAAGTGTCTTTTTGTGCCCTAACATCTTCATTCACGGCATAACAAAACTTCGTCGCCATCTTGACACTGAGACGTACGGAAGGGTTGCCATGGCAATTTTGTAATTTCACATGTGAAATTACAATTAACGCTGAAATTTCGCCCCAGAATTAAGGAGTAATTCGTCACCTATGATATTAAGGAAATAATATCCCAGATTATTATCTGGCTTGCAATAGGCTATGCCTTGAGCCTTACGGCACGCGCAAAATATAATTTCTGAAACAGGCCCCTGGTGCGCCAGGCATAAGTTTGTGTTTATAAATTAAATGAAAAGTTTACCGATTCAATAGAACGCGTGGAGAAACAATAAGACAAGTTTTGTTTAATGCTTTCTGTATTGCAGTTAATGTCGCAAAACAAAAGTTTCACAAACTTCCCGTCAAGACATTTAACTGCCATTCGTCACGTATCTTGATATAAACCTGTGACAACTAATCTTCGCAAACGTTGTCAAAAAAAGGAAATTCAAAAGTCAAATAGTCAATAAATTCCCTGGTTAGTTGTATCTACATTTATTCAGTAAAAAGGCCGGGTAGTATTCTATTGTAAATCCAGTATTCCAGTCGGCCGATGACTATGTCCACCTGTGAAACTGCACCTCAGATACCTCAAACAGCGAATAGACAGAAGACGATGGAGGTTTATGCCAATGATAAAAACTTAAAAGAAGTCAGCCGAAAGTGCTATTATATATTTGAAATGTGGGCTTCGATATCTTGTTAATCTTTGTCTTCTATTATTTAAATAAAAACGCATTCAAAACGTTTTTATGATAAGTGGAGAAGGAGGAAACAACAGCTAGTTACATATTTTTTAAAATCTGCATGATATGATCCACCGTGTACAGAAAAGATGTTAATTAGTTCGATGGAAAGCGGGCAACTTGAACTTTATGAAGGTTTTTGTTCTACTTATTTCTTGGAGCTTACTAAATTTTCCAACCTCTAGGTGCGGCCCTTATGTAAAACTTTGTATTTACGAATAACACATCATATTACTTCATCTTATTTTGACTTTTTGTTTACTTTGTGTTAGTAACCTAAGAAGAATTCAATACAACATTGTTTTTAAAATTATACGTCATCTGTGCGACCACGTAAATAACAATGGCACCAATACATCACAGCCACAATATTTCAAAATAAATAAAAAAAAGTCAAATCATCTCAGTCACGTTAGCGTCTAGGCCTTTTGTCACAGATAACAATGTCGTTCCATTAAAACATTTCCCTTCTACAGTTCGGGAGTATGCCAGTTTTGGAAGAAGCGAAAACAATGGTCTACGTCACCAACCATAACATGATCACCATGGCGATGGCCATTTTCAAAACATAAAAAATGGTGGACAAGGGAGAGGAAAGAGTATTGACAGAAATTTCTCGTTTATTCTTGTTTCATCGGGCCTTTTATTTGTCTTCTCCTTACTATGAATTGGGAAGTACCTTGAGGGCAAGGAGTAACCATTCTTGTATTCAACTTTTTCTGAGATTAGGCGTGAGATTTTTATCCTGGGAGTGCTGGGATTTTTGAAAACGACACGATCATTTCCGAAGATTCCGAAGAAGTCCGAAGTCTTCCGAAGACGTCCGAAGTCTGCCGAAGGCGAAGTTATCGAGAAAAACACTTATCCACAAAATCAGAGATCGCGAGGAAGGTATTGTCATTTATTCATTTTACACATGGTTTTGTACATATTTTTGGAAATTGTGTCAAAGCAAGACGGCAACAACTCACATTTTTCAATCAGGCGTGAGAAATTGGTCCGCAGGCGTGAGCGGGCGTGAGATCGAAGTTTTCAACCCGCATTGAGACTCACGCCTAAGGCGTGAGAGTTGGCAGGTATATTCTTGCGCTATAGTTCTTCGCTTATTGCGAGCTTTGTAGGCACTTCGTACTCACTGCGTATGTAATCAGTACATCGAAAATAGGTAAGCACGCTAACAAGTTTGTGCCTATTTCTTTCATTAATTTTTTATATTATAAGAAAAAAGAATGCTTTGGAAACAACTAAAAAAGTGAGTTGTTCTATAATTTATTTCCTTATGTTTGCAAAGAGTAAGTTTTACTGTAATTTTTCCCGTTGCTTCTGTTTCTCTCTCGGGGAGTGAGCGACTGGCCGGAGAAGACGGCTGTAATTCAGGTTATTGTTTTGGTGCAAGCGAGTCATTTGTGAGTAAAGTAGCTGTGTTTTTCGAATATGATGTTCTGTTGGTGTATGTCCAGAAGCGGTTCCGTCCAGGTATACAACAGGTTTACAAGGGATTTCTGAGGGTATTGTGTCCGCGTTTTCTTCTTGAAAACCCACAAAGTGAAAATCTTGCTTATCATCCCTGATCATTTTTTCTTCGTCCCGCTTCAAAAAAACCTACTGCTTTCAATTATTCCACTGTCTGAAGTTCACTGATTATTTGCTCAAGCTTAACAAATGCAAGAGACTCTTTAGAATTTAATATACATATTGGAAAACTAAGAATGCCTGTTGTTTTTGGATATATTGATTAAAATGGGATACTATAGTCTTGTAGTCCACCGGATTTGATCAGAGGTCAGATATCAACAGGGTTATGGGTTGTTATAAAATATCCTCTTATATGGGATTTGATGTATATCCGAATAATACTAAATTATTGTTTTTAACTCTGGGGTTGCCTTCAAACCAAAGGCATTGTAACTTTGAGGAGCACTTTTCTCCAAGTCTTCTCTGTGGGGACCCTCAAACAATTCTATTAGACACGGTTTGGCCCAAAATAATAATGATTGCTGCACTTGGCATGGACACAACATAAGTTTTCCAAAGTTCTTTTTCATAGTTCTCCATGGTTCTACTGAACAGCACTTTCAAGAAAACAAAGCTCACACATCAGAGTAAAGATACAGTTATAAAAGATATTAATTTTATTGTTACATTTTGTTTTTTGTAAATAAACATTTTATTTCTGGTCCTGACATAACCTACGAGCAAGGGACCTATGCAAGTCACGCAGACCATCAGCAAAAATAAAGTAAAAACAAGTAAAAACTGCAAATTTTACAGATTACAGTTAAGCATTCTTTTTACTGATTAGGGTTTAGGTTGGGGTTAGGGTTATGATTAAGTGCTGTTTAGGGTTAAACACTTATTTACCATGGTTAGCTTTTCAGTTCATTCTTTCGCTATTACCAGATTACTGTTTTTGATTTTTATGTATTGTTTTCAATGAGTCGTATCTGGCCTGCATGACTCGCTGCCATGGCTCGCATATCATACACACTCTTGTATCTCAAAATCTTGTTTTTTTTAACACCTTCTTGGACATGAAAACCAAAAACCAAAGCTTAATTGATATAATGAAGACAGTAGCAGCTGACATAGGTTTTCAATAGCTATCTTGTGAGATGTCTCTCACGTATTATTTATTAGGGAGGATGATTTGTTGAAGACGATACATTAATATAGATGCTTTTTCATCGAGAGAATCTCAATAATTTAGGATTTATTCAAATACAAACATATTCAATATTATGACATAAAATGTGGGCTTATTGCTCATGCAAAGGTATTGATGGGGGAGAGTGTGGCATTTTTATTTTCCTGTTTCAGATTGACCTTTGCACAGCACAGGATTGAACATATTATGTATTTGGCATTTGTAAAGTATAAACAATATTTGACGCAAGGGATTGAACATTATGTGGAGAAAATCTTCACAAGCCTCCACTTCCATGACTCCTTCCTCATCTATCTCCTTTAAAGCCCCTTGAATAAGGGCCCCAGTCTCTTCTATGGTTGAATGGTCATTGAGTGTGAGCTTCCACTCACAAGGTATATGAGCACCCCCTCCAACCTGTTTCCCTCTTACCCATTTTTGAGAGGGAGGAGGGGCTTTTGTGGTGGTAGGTACCTTGTGACCACACTACAAAAAACAAAAAACATGCATGTTTGATTTTACTGAGGTAGGGTTGAATTTGGACATTAAGTTTTTTATTACAGAGTAACATGACGCGAATCTAAAGCAACATTTTGCCCTCAGAGCTCAAATATGTCGTTCTGAAGATATTTAACATTTGTCTTCCTCGTTCCTTTTCCCAGCTTTTTGGCACAAACGCGAAACAATGTTTGTAATATGTCCAGATGTTTGTCTACATTTTGGACGAACATCCTGATCAAAATATAAGAAATCAATATAAGAACCTACTCACACTGATTTAAAACTCATTCCACACACATGATCTGGATCAATAAAGTGATTTCTAGATCAAAGTCCCATACATTGCCGGTAAACACAACCAAAAACAGACTTGATCGCTTATAACTAAAAATACGTGGACAGACTAAGGCATAACCATCAATATAGTAACCCTTCCTGTCTATGGGGGTATATCTATGACAAAAATTCAATAACCTAAAAGTGAAAAGGGTCAAGTCAAATCTGAAATATACCGAGTCAAAGTTGTAAAAAAAAAAAAGACCACACTAAAAGGAAGAAATACTAAAAAGCCACTATCATATAGGTATCACGTAGAAAAAGGCATCAGACTAAAAAGGCAACACACAAAGAGGCACAACGCAAAGAGGCAACACGCAAAAGGCATAACGCAAAGAGGCATCACGGAAAGAGCCAACACGCAAAAGGCATCACGCAAAGAGGCATAACGCAAAAAGGCAACACGCAAAAGGCATCGCAAAAAGGCAATTTGCAAAAAGGACAATTTGTAAAAGGGCATCACGTGATAAGTTCCCTCATAACATATGGTGGGATCATCCTCAGATTGACGGCAATTTTCCACTGCTGTTAACGCTGCACGAGGAACCGCTAAAACCTGAGCGCCATCTTTAAGGATGTGCCAATCTCAAAAGTAAATCAATTAGGTTTTCCAGCCGGAAAGAAATTCAATCGCTGTCAATTCCGTTTTGGACTTGTTGTGGTTATCAATCAGGGCACGCCTAAGGTACCGAATAAGCACCTCATGAGGTGAGCAAGATGGAATGTCTCGTTCGAATACCATTTCGGTTCGGTTTGCAGTATTCACGCAATATGTTTAAATACCAGGCTTGGATCCTAAGTAAACTTCTCACGTGATGCCTTTTTTTTGCAAATTGCCTTTTTGTGATGCCTTTTTGCGTGTTGCCTTTTGCGTTGCCTTTTGCGTTGTTGCGTCTTTGCGTGATGCCTTTTGCGTGGTGCCTTTTTGCTTTGCATTTTTGCATTTTTGCGTGTTGGCTGTTTGCGTGATGCCGTGTGTTTTCTTTGCGTTATGCCTCTTTGAGTGATGCCTCTTTGCGTGTTGCCTTTTAGCGTGATGCCTTTTTCTGCGTGATACCTATATGATATTTAGTATTTCTTCCTTTAGCGTGGTCTTTTTTTACCAACTTTGACTCGGTATATTTCACTTTTAGGTAATTGATTATTGTCATAGATATACGTCATAGATATACCCTCATACCTGTCCGTTGGCAATTTTCAACGTGTGGTTACCATATATTTTTACTGGGTTGTTACCATCGATGAAACTTTGCCTGAACACACACCTTACACGTTGTAGTTTTGAGGAAAATTAGTCTTGATTTCCTAAAAATTCGGCAAGATACTGAAAACTAAACATAAAGACATGTACTTACATTCGATGCCCGTCAATATAGCGACGACGTCTTCGAACGCTGTTTGATAACTGTCGATTTTAACTACCGTAATGTGGCACGAAACTGCTCTTGACATTCAAAAAGCAAGGAAAAGGCTTCTTCATCAGCACTGCTAGCTCGGAAGTCCCGGATATTGAACGAGTGGACCCGGAACAGGCTTTGAAAAAAGCTCCCTTGTTTTTGGCGATTATTTTTCCCATTTTTGCGTATTTTTAGCAGAACAATGGAATCATGACGTCATCGCTTCTTCCAAAACTGGAATACTCCCGAACTGTTCTAGAGTAAATTAGTTGTCGCCACGGTGAAATGACATTAATAGCCCCCCTCCCCCTCTCCCACCACCACCACCACCACTACCACCAAGGTGATAGTAGGCACCATTGTAAGTGGTATTTGGAGAATATACAACCGGACTTTCTCAAACAGCTTACGTCAAAAGTTGTATTAATAATCACGAATAACTCGGAAATGATTTAAGATTACTGATTGCTCCTCCCTTTATCGTTGGTTATTTTTCTGTTAATTTGGTATTGCTTCTCTGTTTTCAGCAACCTCAAAGACAACAGACTCTCTCAGTTATCTGGCACTGTTTTCAAGGGGTTAGAAGAGTTGAAAACTCTGTAAGTCGTATAAGCTCACGTTCAGCTTCAAGCGTAACAGTGAAATTTGTATTTCCCGGTGAACCTGGGGCGGGAGACTTTGTAGCATGAATTATGAGCAAACTTTGAAGACATCTCTTGAGTGTATTAACTTTTTCTTTTGCCACTAGGCTTTAGGAAAATGTTGTTAACACGCTAGCTACTGCCATTTTCGCCAATGATCTCATATCGCGTATCTGTGACTCACCCTGTGACGCATGATTATAGCTCTGCTCTGCTTGGAAATTACTAGAAAGTACGAAAAATATTCCGTAAAGCTGTTTCTATAAATAAATTAAACCTCCAAGGGCTTATACGAGAGGCTCCTAGTAATCGGCTTTTGAATAAGGCGAATAAAGTAAATAGGAAGAACGTTTTCCAGAATCCACACTGAAGGAAGGGTTCGACAAAAACAAAATCACAAAAACAAAATCACAAAAACAAAATCACTGTGCGTAAAATTCCACCATGATGTTCTGGTCAGTGTTTAAAAAAAGCTTTATAAAAATATATGACAGCTTAGGCAGCGCTCATATGGTGGACTAAAATAAACTGCTGACATTGGACTAGATACTACACTGTATACTCCATAACTAAGTTATCGAGTACCTTTCAGCACCTACAGTTGTAGTCTCCCATTATTTAGTAGAGCCATTTTTTTTTCGTGTAGAGAGCTCTCAAGAAATGGAATCTCCAACTTACAGGAATCCACCTTTGCAGATTTAAGAAACCTACAGACTCTGTAAGTTGTACGATAAGTTGATATTTTTTACCAATATTTATGTTCGTATAATTCATTTCTAACTGATGATCCAGCACGCATTTTATGTTCGGCTAAGCAATGCCTGGTTAAAGCTCCAGTGAGAAAAATGGCAGTAATAATTTCTGCTTTACTACTCTCCCGCTATGACGCTCTTTATCACAACTTGCCTAATGATGCAACATATAAATAGAGGATATTACACGGTGGCGCGAAGATATGAATTTTATTTTCGAGTGGCAAAACAATATTTTACGAACTAGCGTAGCGAGCGAGTAAAATATTGTTTTTGCCACGAGAAAATAAAATTCGTATCTTCAAGCCGCCGTGTAATGTTCTTTTTATTATATAGACAAAAAGACATCGATAAAATAATAGAGGGAAATTACCGAAATTACGTCATCGATAAACTCATGTGTGAGATTACGGAAAATAAACCACTCGGGTCCGGGATGTGGTTTTTTTGAATTTTACGAGTGGTATATTTTCCAGTAAAACACTCGCGCCTATATAATAATTCGGTATAATTTTTAACAATACTTTCAATCAAAGTGTCAAAGTTTTAGAAATTGGAATCGTGCTTTGATTGGAACCTTTTATTAGCAAACAAGAGGCAAAGGAAAGAATAGAATGATTTTTCTAAAAGTATCTGAAAGATTAATGCTGACATTAATGCTGGTGGACAAGGAGAGTCATATAGAGTCAAGAGCAAAAACAGGTCTGCGCGCAATAGTTACGTTCCTGCTCTGCGGTTCAGAAAGCACACAAAACTAAGCCTAATGGGCCGCAAGAGGCAGGATCGAGTTGGTGCCTATAGCTGAAGAATCAGAAGGAATTAGCTCGATCAAATTTTGTATTACTCTTCCATCATTGTGTTTTAGTAACTTCCAAAGTAACAAGCTCTTGAAGCTACAACAACCCATCTTCAAGGATTTAAAAAACCTAAAAAGACTGTAAGTATGGACTGGATACTACTTGTTACAATCAAACCTCGATTTAACGAACCGCTATTTAACGCAGTCGTCGGTATAACGAACGATTTTGTTTACCCCAATAATGAAGGAATACTTTGTTCTTGCAGCTTTCACACAAACCAACGGAAAGCCAATTCGTCTTGCGGCGATATCTATGTTGCTTTCTGTTAAGGGGCAATTAAAGTCACCAAGATGTAGTGTTACATTTAAATGCATTGGCTTTGTTGGTATCATGGAAAATCACCTTAGCTATTCGTTCAATTTGTAGGGACCTCTCACATAATCAAATCTCTGAGCTACCGAGGAACATTTTTGCTGACTTAAAAGGCCTGGAACATCTGTAAGATGTAATTCTTTTGTTTTTTTTCCTTACATTGGCTTGTCTTTTCTCAAAATCAGTAAATCAGATTATTTTTATTTTCTTTCGCTAGGATTGGACTAATAATTGAACCTTAAATAACCCTCCGGTTCAGGTTACCATTACCATCTACAGAGTCAGTAAGATGTTGAAATTTGTGTAGAACTGATCGCCAGGGTTATCCGGGATAAATAAAGAACTCTAGTTCAACATTACTGCTGTACCGGCACTGGAATGAATACTATAAAACACGCTTAGATTTTTGGCAAGGGCAGCTTACCTCGTTTTACTATCAGTGTTTTCCATCAAACCTTGCATCTTAGGTGGTCTTGGATAGTTAGTTGTACAATTAAATCAAACTTTCACACTATGCAATAATGCGATGATGGTTTCTAACAATATGGGATATACGTACGTCATCGGAAACTCGCGGAAACATTAAAGAACGGGAAATGAATGATAGAAATGTGACGGAAGTTTCCTTGGTGAAATCTTCCGGAAAGGTGTTTCCTACATGGAAAAGTAGATAGCCATGTTGCCACTGGGTGAAAACGTGACGGAAATAAGCAGTTCTATGTTTCCGTTGAGTTTTCAAAATTTTGAAACACTTCGTTTCGTTCTTTGTTCATAATCGATTCTTACGGTTATTACGCGTTGTTTAGAGACCTTTCTCACAACCGGATAACAATGCCTCATTCAGAAGTTTTCAGAGAATTGGAGAGTCTCAAATACTTGTAAGTTTCAATTTGATATTGGTTTTTATCATATACTAAAACAGTAGATATAGTGTTTTTCGCGCACTCTGATTGGCTACTTAAAGGCAGGATATCCAGTGCAGTTAACTGATTCACCTCCAACGCGAATGCAAACTGGCGTAAGTTACGACCAAAATGGTTTCCCGGTTGGCTGCCGTAAACAAACAAAGAAATATCACAAATAATCATCACAAGCTGTTCCCGGAATACACAACGAAGATGACTAAACTCGGTTTGGAAGCTTTAACAAGTAAACCTTTGCCTGTTTGACATGAATTTACCGATAAAACCGTGAAAAAGTTTTTTGTTTCATTACAAATACAAACTAGGTCTTGCGTAAAATAAATAAGCTTAAAACTACATTAAATAGTTTTTTTTTTTACAAAATGGCTTCAAATATAAAAAGAATTCATAACTTTTGAAGAAATTTTCCTAAATTAGCTAAAAAAATGCCTTTAAAATTTTTATTTGTCAGCAAGAAAACGCGACGGCCGTTCGGTCACTTGCGCGCCAAAATTGTCTGAATTGTTGGCCACATTAAGTGAGTAAAAAACCATCTTCTTTGTGCTCAATTATCTCAATGTTTTTGAATATACTAAAACAATTATTCACCTCAGTGTCGGTGGCTAGTGGTGTGTATATACCTTGCGGCTTATCGGCTCGCAAATAACACCACTAGCCACCTCCACCTCAGTAAATGATTGTTGTTTATTTCAATGATACCTTTTTTTCGCTTTAACAAAGGTGCTTGTTACAACCAAAAAGTCAAACAACAAGCCTCGAACATACATTAAAATACACTATCACGGAGGACGTTTCCTCATGTACTTACGCAAAAGTTATGACTAGAATAACTAGTGCAGTTTTTCGCGGTAAGGAAGCGCAGTCACTCAGGGTAAAATGAAATAAAAAACCCCTTGCATGGAAATATTTTAATCTCAGCGGTCACTGATAACTTGCAAGGTGTCAACTAATATACCTACATTTTTAATGCATGGACGGATTAAGGATTTGGCTGAGGGGGCCGCGAAATTTTTCTGTGAGATTTCGTATAATCTTAAAATAATTCTTAGTAATTTAAGCACAAGAGAGGATAAAGGGGACAGAGATCGGCATCCCCATACACACCCTATTCCATAGGTAATTTGTCTCGAGTTATTTTTAACACCACAGATCTCAAGGGGGATTAGACAACAGCCAATCACATAGCGCGAATTTGTTCCGCGTGGATGACCCACACTCAGAGGCACGCGTCCTTCACGAATTGACGCAGAACAAAAATGGCGGAAGACGCGGAGAGCGATATTGTTATTCGTTTTGTCTACAAAAACGAGTAAAGAGAAATTTCTGCTAAAGCTGTGTCAGCGAAACGGCAATTAAAAAAGAATCGCCCTTCCTCTCTTGTATAGAGGTAACAGTACAGCAGGGAAATCCTTAACACACTGAATATTCTCTCAGGATCATTTATAATTACAGTTTGAAGAGAGAAATTTCTGGTTTGATATTTAATCTTTTATTAGTCTTTTATTATTCAACGAAAATAACACTTGGTGTCCTACTTGCTTTATTGTGCAAACGGCCGGTTTCAATAGACCGGCGAAATTTCTCATTTTATTAAAGCACTGAGGTTACGATAACTTCGATTTAAACTGATTTCACGGGTTGTCAAAGAGTCCAGCGATTCCCCTTTCCCAGGTGAGCGCCGACTCATTTCGTTTCAATATTCAGGAATGCTCTCGATCTTTCTACGCTTTCATTGCCTTTCGCTCGACATGTTTTGCACGGCGTTTAGTCATGCAAAACCTCCACGAAACATCCACGCAGCGCGCGTGGTAACTTTATCCCGATTCTAAAAATAATTCGAGACGAATTACCTATGGAATAGGGTGTGTATGGGGGATGCCTTCTCTGTCCCCTTTATCTTCTCTTGTTTAAGCAGTATCCGTACAGCTGTCAAATCCCCCCACCCCCGCCTCCCGCCGCATTTTTGAATTCCAATTAGCCTACCAGTATCGTAGCTTCAAGCGCTGAATGTGTTGGTCAATGTTTGTAATATCCAAACAGAACATGCAATTCCTTAATACGCACCGACAAGGTGATAGCACTCAGAACGCCAGCTTTTTCATTCTTTCACCGGCATTGTCCCTATATATTTTTTGTAAGGTTTCTAAACAATAACAAGATCAACCAGCTTCATGGTGATATATTTCATGGGCTCCAAAACCTGGAAAGATTGTAAGTACAATTTAGCTTTATGAGACATTGATACAGAATGGAAATGTAGTATTGTAGTTTTAATACGGTAATAAAGAAGCTGTCTCTAAGGAACCAAGCACTAAAAAAAGTAAATCTCAACATTCGCGGGAAAAATTGCACGTTTACCCTTTGACGCAATGTTCCCCGCTAAGTACAACTTTTGGCGGGAAACAGTTTTATTGTAAATTGTCATGTGATCCCAAGGTAACCAATGAGAGTGCTTCCGTTGGGACAAAATTTCAGCAATACAAAAGTAGCGTGTAATCCTAATTTTTATTAAAACGGAATCAATGGATAATGCAATTCTAGAGCTCTGATTGTCTTAGCAACCGTGGTATACAAGCCATCATACCATGCTCTCCAAATATGACAACTGTACTCGTTGCTTTTACAAATAAAGTCGGGAAGAATTCTCGATATTTTGTGGGCGTTTTTAATGAAACAATTATTCCACTCGCACTTGTTGGATATGACATGACTATAGCCAACTCGGCGCTATGCACCTCGTTGGCTCTCTACCATCTCATTTCCAACGTCCACTCGTGGAATAATTGTTAAATAGCCTGCGTCAGTAGAAGGCACTTCGAAGTAATATGCGAAAAAGAACGAGGCGCGCAAGGGATCGCGCGCCACGTTCCTTCTCAGTTGAGAAAATTACTATTACAATCCCTTGATACGCAGGCTAGTAACATTACACAAATAGTTAAACTTTTGAGCGCGTACATTGGCCAAAAAAAGGAAGTTAAAGTATTTTTCCCGCAGAGTCTCCAGAACAATGCTTATGTTTATGTAATGCTAAGACCTAACCTCATAACCAAATGAACAAAAAATGAAAACGAAATCGTTAGATATTACAATGAAGCTGAATATTCTCCCTAAAATCATACGTCACTGTTTCGGTTCACCGCTAAAACTCAATGACTCAATTAGAAAACAAGTTAAGACAAAAGTGATTTAACGCCTTCTGATAAATTGTATTGCCACTCAAGTGTTTTTTTATAGGTATATATTTCTTGTAGGTATCTGCAGGGAAACTTGCTTAAAGCGCTGCCTTTAGAGGTATTCGCAGGCCTCCGGAATCTTAAGTATTTGTGAGTATTTTCTGCTACCTTGCATAAAAATCCGTTACAGATTAAATTCCCCCGAAAATTTTTCCGAAAAAATCCGGATAGGCGTCAGGTTTGTATGAGATCTAGCAATAATGACAATTTTTTTTGCAACTATTTATTATTACTATTATTTTTATTATTATCACTTTTTTTACGAACTTTTTAAAGAAATGGGAATTTAGGAATACGAGATTTTATTCTTTTTTTAACTTGTTTTCTTTTTAATATCAGAGACGGACAATTCTTTTTTGTAATGACTTAATTTAAAAACTCTGGACTGCCTGCAAGAGTTGTTGACTGCATCTGAGCCGCAAGGAATCTAATTGGAAAATCGTTATTGACACAGGAAATTTTTCTTTTTTATGATTTATGTAATGCTTAATATTATATAGTGCTTAATTCTTACCTCAAATATTCTGTAAATGATGTACATATTTTTAAAGTTGAATAAAATTATTATTATTATAATATTTATTATTATTATTATCATTATTATTATTAATAACTTGCAGAGTATTTTATAACTATAAAAAACGTTATTTTGGTCTCGTACATCATTTTTTTGCCATTTTAGTAAGCCATTGGACTATTATTACGTTTGCAAACATTTTACAGTTTTGTATTCATTCTGATTTTAGGAAGTTAGACAGCTTCTCCTTGTGCTGTTATGCTACTAGAGTTCTCAAGCACGTGGACTGCGAATACCCATTGTCGGCGCAAGAGTCCTTTTCAAGTTGCAATCGCATGATTGAGGACTCAGGTCCTAGAAAGATAATTTGGTTGCTCGGTGTTCTTGCTGTGCTTGGTAACCTGGCTGTAATAGCTTGGCGTCTAATTAGGCGCGACGACCACCCGGTTCAGACCTGTCTTCTGACGAATCTCGCGGTGTCCGACTTTCTCATGGGAGTGTACCTTATGATTGTTGCCATTCAAGACCAAATATGGGCAGGTATGGGTTTCGATCACCAGTGTTTCGGTGGGAGCAATACAACTTCTTATATATTTTTGTCTCTTTTACTAACAGAGCATTTATCATAAGTTTGGCTAGTTTTATAGTAAGAGATTTCGAATCAAAATGATGAAACAGTAAGTAACCCTTTTAAGGGTTTTAAAGTCATTTAATAATGACCTTAAAAAATTAATTTGACGAGATGGCACTGAATCGAGCCTTTTAAATTTGAGGCCTCATTAAACTAAAGCTTGCACACAGGCTCGGTACAAGACATGTACCTTCCAATAGCCTGTTCCAGGCAAGTGAAAGGCACCCGCCAATATGAGCTCATGATCTGGAAAAAGGGGGCGGTCGCAGTTTATTCCCTTTTTATTTTCGTGTTCGCTTTTCCAATTTCGCGGGCCCGACTATCACGGAGCTTCGAACACTCAGGCTAAACTTCGACCAGGTGTCAATTTAATTACACTTTTACTAGAATTTTGACATCAATCCTGTGACGTCATTTTCCCGCCAAAAACCATTAAAATTAAACAAGTAAAACCAACAAAAACATGCGCAATAAAAAGTTGTACCATCCGGCAAAGTTTCAGTTCAAACGGATAAAAATTGTAAGAGAAAACATTCCTGGCCATTTTTGATGTTTTTTTTTTCAAGAGTGCAACGTGCAAGTGTAGCTATTGATTTCAGATTCTAAACATTTACACTCGTAAATTTTTCATTAAATTGACCCCAGCCTTAGCTACTATAATACACGTCGTGACTTCGATCGAATTCTTTTAAATAATAATGTGACTTGCAAGACATTTTTCCGGGTAGAGTATACAATAGGGTGCACAGACAAGTGAGTGTTATCACAATACTGAAACAGTGCTTCATTTCCAGGTGCTTACTTTAACTTCGACCTCACTTGGCGATCAGGAACACTTTGTAAACTTGCCGGTGCTTTATCAGTGCTGTCAAGCGAAGTCTCGGTACTAATGCTGACTGTTATAACCGCTGACCGATTGATCAGTATCGTCTTTACATTCAGCTGTCGCCGACTGACGCTAAAGGAAGTTACGTTATTTGCGCAGCCGTCTGGGTCATCGGAACCCGTCATTGCCGTCGTTCCAACAAATGATCTCCCATATTTTTACAACGAGGACAGACAATATGGATTTTACGGTATATTCGCTTTTCAAGTGAAACTCCGCCCCCTTAATTTAATTTTCCCTTACTGGCTGGCTCTTTTAATCTAACGGATTAAAACGTCTTGATCAGTCTACCGAAGTATAGTGATGTCGAGCAAAGTTTCGGTTATTTTTTAGAGAATCTTAGTAAAATGCTTGACAGAAGATTGTCATGGCAACAGAATACTACGCTGTGTGACTTTTTCAGTGGGTGAGAAACTGTCATTGCCATCTTCATCATCATTATTATCATTATTATCATCGTCATCATCATCATCATCATTGTTATTTACTTCTTGTTCTTCCTCTCTCCTTATCATAATTAGCCTGTCACATTATCTGAAATTAAGAAGCAACTAAAATACGAAATTCGTATTTTTTTTTTTTTAAGGGCGTTCCTCAGTTTGTCTCCCTCTCCAACTGTCCTCAGAAAGGCTGGCCGGCTGGGAGTATTCAGTTGCCATATTTATCGCTTTGAATCTCACAGCTTTCCTTTTCATCATGACAGCCTACATAGCCATTATCTTTAAGGTGTTTAAGTCACAGCAGAGAATCAACGCACATGGAGAGTCAAAAACCAATAACAGCCTCAACAGAGAGTCGGCCCTCGCTCGGAGAGTGTTCGCCATCATTTTAACTGACTTCAGTTGCTGGATTCCTGTGATAATTTTGAGTATTCTTGCCCTCGTTGGGAAGTTCAATGATCCCGACGGAACGGCTCACGTTTGGTGTTTGCTGCGTTTGTCCTGCCGGTTAATTCATCAGTTAATCCAGTGCTCTACACGTTTTCTACACCGAAGGTAAGAGCGCAAGTGGGGAAACCTGAGTGAAGGTGTAAAATGACTACAATTTTCGATATTTATATCCTTTAGCTCTTGAAACGAGCTATAGCTACATGCCATAAAAACGATCTACAATCCTGGTCATAATTTTTGAAACACTTTCGGAAAACACAAGTTGTTCCACGAATACATGTACATGTATCGCGTCCCTCTCCTTCCTTCAATGTTAAGGGGTTGGGAGGCGGAGAAATCAGCAAGCGTTTCAACAGTTAAGAAAAAAAAGAGAGAAAGGAGCCGATTCCCTGATTGTAACTGAGTCTTCCCACCCTTTCCCTATGGAACTTTCTGGACCATTTAGAGCTAGAGTAGCACACACTTAACACAGATGTCTTAACCGGAGAACGTTACCGGGAATGGAAGTTAAATGGAAAAATTTTCGATGTTTGAAAACTGTCGGGAGTGATCGTTGGCGCCATTGGCCACCATAATTTTACTCGGCCGCGAAGCCTTTTAACGAAAAAAACATTCTCAATATTCTGAGAAAAAGATACTTACTTCAACTGATTATCTCCACCCTTGCCCATACATTTTTTCACTTAACGTTAAAAGAAATCCCATTGAATAATCATAATGCGTGAACGTTTGACTGCAGTGGGTGGTGACTAGTACATGGTTATGCTGTCTACAATTGCTCTCTTACGCACCACCCTCCTCGTCCAATATTTACCGGAATTTAGGACATAAACTAATCGATTCGATGCAGGGGTGGGGGGGAGGTGTCTCAGGAAATCTGTAGCACAGACCGCTTGCCAGTATGACGTCACGTCTCGCGTCAGTAACTTTCAAAATGGCGAGCAAAGTGTTCATCGAAGAGACGGATTTCCGATTTCTTGGATTTGGAGATTTTAAAGGTTAGGCTATTGTCATAGAAAACTAGACTTAAGTACTTTCTTGGAATGAAATGACCTTGATGACCTTGCCGGTCCCTTGAAATAGATCGCGATCCAGCAACACGGCCCAAAACAAATTAACAAAAATTATACAATCACGGACACAAAATATCAATACGGTTTACAGAAGCAGATTATAGCAACACCAAAGCTCACACACATTCGATGAAATAAACGACATATAGCGATATTTGCCAGCTTCTTAGCTTTTTCCTTGACCTCGCTCGTCCAAATAACTGTAGTTTCCCTTGCTAATTTGCAAGCGACCCAAGGTTCTTGCCCGTTACTATGTGACGTCATACTGGCAGGCGGAGTGGGTCAAGAAACTTAGGTGGAAAACAATAAAGTTACCTCCCCCCTGATTCGGTGTTAAAATTGGTTGTTGGATATTCTGATCAAATACCGATCACAAGAGACTCTATTTGCACTTGTATTTGTATCACTAATTTTCATTTGCTTTACAAACTGAGTCATGACTGACGAGAGAATGCGTCCAGCATAGAACAAAATTCACAAAATGTTCTGCATGCATTTGGAAATTATTTGAAATAGTTGTCATTACAGTTAAACATGCACTCGAATAAAATATCAGGTTTTTAAAAACGCACGCAAGCGAGGGTAAACAGATTTATAAGTTTTTTGCCCGAACCCCGTGTGAAAACCGCTGACAACTGTTGTCAACTTATTTACAACAGCTTCAATTGCTTATTTTCTAGGTGAGAAGTATCTTAAAAGGTTGGCTTAGACGCATTTTTTATGCTGTGATCTGCAAATCCGGGTCTACAGGTGTTACAATTTCCGGTAAAGACAACGTAGGCAAGTAGTTTATTGAAATAATATGGCGAATGATTTTAATAAAAAGAAACCAAAAACGTTTTGAAAGAGATAAGTTTGGAGGAGGTATGCATATGTTTTGGTGAAAGTCTCGCGCAATCATGCATGCATGTATTCCTTACTTCCAGTAGTTTCATTATCGATTGACAGCTGATTATCAGTTCAGAGCTTTTTGTTTAGTAATGAATCCCAATTGCAAGTGCTGTTCAATCAATCCTAGTGTTCAGGGGCCGGATTCAAGAAGGTGTAAATCCTTCTACGTTATCGCTCCACAACAATTGCATTTTGCAAGGAAATTGAATGACTAAAGCTTGTTGAATCCGGGCCAAAAGACTGTCCACTTGAACATTTGATGTTTCCTAGTTAGAAAATTACCCAAATTTGAATACAGAATGCTGCGCAGCGTTCAGGAATAAGTCAATGACCTTGTTGCTATTATTTGTTGCTAACAACCCAAAATCCAAACGTCCTTTTGGGCATTTTAAGGTATTCGTTGCAGTCTTGTAGAGTAAGTCAAATTACCCAAATTAGCCAGATTTAGATTTCAGGGGCGAAGATCTACGAAAATTTAAGGATGTTGGATTCTCAGATAGTTGCTTTTATTAGTTCCTGAAGCAATAAGAATGGCAAAATGACTACTCAGTTTCCCCCAAGACTGGGGTGATCTCCTTTTCAATTTATCAGCTGTTCATTGTATAAGTTCTTCATGGATGTCCTATTTATTATCTTGATTTCTTTTCTGAATTCTGAAGTTCGTTTAAAACATCGTCCAGATTCTGCAATAGACTGGATGAAGCGAATTATTAGTGTAATTGGGGTAATTAATGACGTATGTTTCTAAAATTTTGTTTGTTGGTCTATGGTGAGGTGAAGACATCAGTGACCAGGATGGCAATACAATTACTATGACTGTGGCCGTTACGCCCCTCTCCTCAATAACACCACAATGAAACACAACAAACCACGCTAAATGGACAGTCTGAAAGTGCAGGTGGAATGATTGCTGTCTAAGAGAGAGGTGAAGTGGTCGGATCTATCTAAGACGGACAGCATTAAGACAAGCATACCAGTGTCTTTGGGACTGGAGGCGTCTGCCTTAAACAAAGTGGATCATTATACGTTTAAGGGAAACGCCCACCTACCCCTCTCCTAAGCCAACATTAACACTTACTTCACTTAGGGCAAAATGTTGCCTCAGGAAAGGGGTAGATAGGGCGGTTTCCAAAAGGAATTAAAGGATCTTCGGCAAAAGAGGTGGCACCTCTACAGAGAGTTGGGGAAGAGTTCAACATTGTTCTTAGTTTTGCAAGTAGTGATTTAGATCATAGAGGGTTTAATATCAGAGGTTTTTACAAGTCCTTTAGTATTTTAATCTATCTGACATTTAGCATTTTTAACTTGTGGCTTTTACAAGTTAAGTTTTTAAAAAAGGTTGAGCTTTATCGTCCGGGTGAATGTGGTCATGTGGGACTGTTGTTGTTGACAGTGACTGACGTTTCGACAACCTGTGCAGCTGTCATCTTCAAATTAAAAGTGGGTATTATCACGTGAGTTGATGGTATTATACTCTGGTGACAATTTGACTACCAATAGACGAGTGTTTAACTGTGACAATAGACGGATCAAAACACCAATTATACCAGTCTTCATAGCCAATAACATCACGGCCAAGCGACGACGACCAATAACTTTATCGCGACGTGTTGACAATCAGAACATAACTTGGAGAGTATAATACCCATCAACCGACGTGATACAACTCTTTGACTCTGAAGATGACTACACGGGTTGTCGACACGTCAGTCACTGTCAACAACAACGGTCCTAGTGGGACTACGTCTTACTCAGACGATCAAACTCAACCTACTTTTGATCAAAAATTAATCTTGTAAAATCTACTATAAACCTATAAAATTGTTGAATGGATTTTTCTTCACCTTGAACCAGGCTTCGTCCGCCATTTTATTTATTTGTGCTGATTCACTCCACTACATTACAAGCAAATAATGAAATGATATAAGCTAATACTACTATATAAAAAAAAAAAGTTGTGAAGGAGACAACCAAAAAGCATCAATGCGCCATACGAGGGATGCCCCACTAATTAAAATATAAGAAAATATATACAAATAGAAATATAAATGTTCTAATTAGTCTTAAAAATTAAAACACTTTTTAAGTTGCAAAACTTCTTTGATTCTAATATGATTTGGTTAACCATTCCATTCATTTACAACATAGTTAAAAACTATATTTAAAACCATCATTTCTACTAAATTTGGAACAAG